AGCCAGTTTTACACCTAGGGGTGTGCAGGATAAGCCCCTGAAACCTGCCTTGGGAAATGATTGAAGCTGTAACAGCGAAGCTGTTGAATGGAAGGCTCTAGCCTAGTCTGACAGGCCTCCCAGGGATGCCCTCATTGTCACTCCAACTCAGCCAGGAGCTTCTTTTGCAGCAACGAAAGTAAGGAAAGCATCACTGGGGAGAACACAATGTGCCATCAGGCAGGGACAAAGTGCACCTCCCTTGAAGATAAGTGAAGACGTTTCCAGCCAGTTCCTTCTCTTGAGGGATGCAGGATAACTCCCCAAAACTATATTTGCGACTGAGGGAAGCTTGAAGAGTGATGCTTTACTCCTACTTAGCTTCACAAGATTAGGCAGGTGCTGAATCATAAAAGTTGATAATGGCCTTGTTTGTATGTGCAGCCTTAAACAATAGTCAGCTTCATCCCATTCATAAAAAAAATGAAATAAAGGTCAAGATCTTGAAGTGCCTACCCACATTGCTTCCAGACCCATTTAGATAGGAGATATTATTTTTCCCTCTGCATTCTTGCAGCTGGAACTGCCCAGATTTCCCTCAGCAAGTAACGTGGTTTAACTTCTACATGAAATCTCTAGGAGAGGCCATCCATCCTATCATATCCAATTATGTACCGGTAATTTTGATTTATACCACTTCATTTAGTGACAAAGAGTTGCGGATCCCTGATCTGGACAGTGATTTATCCTTTCAAAGCATTTGGGGAAAATGGACCACTGCCCTTCACCTTTAAAAATCCCAGTCAAAATAGCATCATCCATGCACCAGGCTGAGGTTAGTAAGTCCTGAAGAGCTCCAAGGTTTACATTATATTAAAATACTTTCAGAAACCTTTACAGAAAGGGGAATTCAACAGGAAGTTCTCCAGCTGGACAGACATGGGGAATGTGAGCTCTGAAGGGTCTCACATGAACCCTGTCTGACAAACTTACTCCGGTGATCCTTTTTTTTTTTATCAGAACCCTCCTAAAGGATGGGGGGGGGAAGGGCAGCATTTCACCAGACCCAGAGGGAGGCAACAGGTCCCTCGCAGGTCGGAGATTTGCCTTATGATTTGGAGTCGGGGCGGCAGTCTGCAATACGGCTGACAAGATTCTGACTTCTCGTCTAAGCAAATCAACAGGCGGGTGTGGAAGAGATGAAAGACCGGTAAGAAAATTTATCTAACCCACAGCCATAAATCAAACCTGGTAATGGCAAAGAAATCTTGAGAGCATAAACAATATTGATGGTCAGACCGGGATTTTCTCCAAAGGAAAGAAAGAAGGAAAGAAAAGGAAAACGGAGAGTTGAAACACCCCACCCCACCCCAAAAAAAAAGCTAAACAAATTCGGACAGAAAAGGAGAAAGCAGAGAAGTGACAAACCCCTTCAAATATAAACTCTATATTTGGTTTTGGATATGAAATAGAAATTAAACATTCCGGAGAATTACTTTGCTTTGAACCAACTCCAAAAAATCAAGGGGAAAAAAAACACTTCTTCCCACTGATAACTGATAACCTAACATTGATTGTGCGGGAAGTTTTAATTAACCAACTGCCATAAATCAGAATTCGGGAAAGCAGGAGGCAAAAAAGTAACATACCTAAATCTGGCTGTTTGCAAGTTTGTTCCAATTGATATGTTTTGAGCAGCTGCGGCTGACCGGAGGCGAAATGTAACAGGGGAAATAATTATTACAGGGTCAAGAACTGAGAAACGCAAGGGTTTTTTCCCCTCCTTCTTTCGTCCTTTTTTTTCTCTGCATAACAATAAGATGGCCCCAGCTTCCCTTCCGGTCCCACAGTATTTGAAATTTAAGGTGGACCAGACCCTCAAAATAAGACTTGTATAACTAACTGCAATTTTGGAACTGTA